AGCCCAGGCCTCATCACCTGGGAGCTTGTTGGAAATGCAGAATCTCGGATCCCATTCCAGACCTACTGAACCAGAATGGGTATTTTTAACAAGATCTCCAGGTGATTTTTATGTACTGTCAAGTTTGAACATTACTTTAGACAAATGCTTCCCAATGTAGTTGTACCTAAAAAAGCTCTATGACATTTATAAACCACCTTTTTCATTACAGAGCTGAGTTAGCAGATAAAGAAGGAATCCCTGGGATACCAAAGGCAGGAGAGGTATTTTTAGGGGATTTACAGACTCCCTGAAGTCCATCTGTGAATCTTTGCTTTCATTTCCTTCACCGTGTAATTTCTGCACTGCAGGTAACAGATGCCACCAGGCACTCAGTAGTATTTGACCGTAGGGTAGCAATGGCACAGAGGTAAGAATTCAGGTGTGATTAATGATGAGAAGCTGGGTTATTTACTGTTTAAATGACAGTAAACTCAAACATTTTTGGTAGAGTAAGAGATTAAAAAATCATTTTGAGTACAGTTCATAAACTTTAATTTATAACATCTCTATTATATAAGTATTAACTTCCCTTTCTCCATTTTAACTGTTTCCATGTATTCAATTCCATCTCTTCTACTTAAACTCAGCTAGAGACCAAAAAATCATAGCTACTTTTTATTGAGTGCCCTCTATATGCCCGGCAGTGGGCTAGTACAAACAAAACAAAACAAAACACCTCATTATGCATATTTTATTGGGTCTTAAAGAAGATAAACAACTCACCTAAGGTCACACACTAGTAAATGACTGGCCATACCCTCACTGACTCTAAGCAGTTTATTTTCATAATAATTTAATTTCTTCAGGTCTAGATCCTTCAATTGACACATTGATCTCCTTTGTCTTGTGTTAAGGGACTTTTAAATTTTATTCAAATCTGTATTTCCACTCAGGCTGCAATCTCCCCACTCCCGGTGCCTAGTGCAGTCTCTTATATGTAGCAGTGTCATATGATAAAGAATGTGACTGGCCTTTGTCCCTGGTTCCTGGGAGGAAGACTCTATATGCCTGGATCACACCCAAGTTTAGGCTAAAGAGATGACTCAGGCAGGGGTTGACCTTCAAAAAGAACAACCATGTGATTAGAGGGTTGGGGTTTTGAGCTAGCCTGACCTCTGGGGAGAGGAGTGGAGAGGGAATGAAGATTGAATTCGGTGATGTAGCCAGTGATTCAGTCCACTGTACCTATATATTGAAACCGCTAGTAAAAACTCTGGACACCAAGCTCAGTGGAGCTTTCAGGTTACTGAACACAGTGATGTGCCAGGAGGGTGACATACCCTGATCCCATGGGGAGAGGGTACAGAAGCTGTGTTTGGAACCCGCCTAGACCTTGTCCTGTGTCTCTTCATTTGGCTGGCCTTTATTTGTTCCCTTAATAATTACAAACTGAAATTCTAAGTGTAGAACATTCCTGAGTTCTATGAGTCAGTCTAACAAATTATCAAACTTGAGGGGAGTTGTGTCTGGATTTGCAGGCAGGTGGTCAGAAGTGTGGGTGACCTGGAGACCCTTGAATTGCAGCTGGCATGGGGGCAGTCTTGTTGGGGACTGGCCCTTAAATCTATGTGTCTGACACTAACTCTAGGTGGTTAGTGTCAGAATTATATTGCAGTATTACAAGCAGGTACTAAACAAATATTTGCTGGATTAAATTCATTTACTTAGAATTAGAATTGCCTTTTAAAGGATTTATACAATTTTCTTAAATGAGTACAATTTTGTCTTATTGTATAGTTTAAATATTATAGGAAAATTAGTAAGTGCAGACAATAAAAACTGATGGTAATCCAGGGATTAACCACATGAAAAGTTTTATTTAATATCTTTTTAGTCTAATTCTATACCTAGGCATATTTATATAGTATTTTTGTTGTTGTTGTTATAAATATTAAATCATTTTCTACATACTGTTTTGTAACTTACTCTTTGTATTTAATATATCGTGGGCATATTTTTCTTCCAAATACTCTTCATTTTTATTTTAATGGCTACACAGCAGTTGTCTATGTCAGCAGTTCTGAAATGTAACTCTTTATACTCTTAAAAATTATTATGGACCCAAGAGAAATATTGTTTATGTGGGTTATCTCTATCAATATTTAATGCATGTGGAGATAGAAATGATAAATTTTTAAAACACAAAAATACACAAGCATATATCCTACGAGCTCTCAGAGTGATGGTATCATCGCTCACTACGCAGCCTCTGGGAGAGTCCACCATGCACTTGTGAGAATGAGGGTAATAAAACAAGTATCTCTCAGTATTAGTAACAAAACAGTTTGACCTCATGGACTCCTGAAAGGTCTTTGCACTTTCAGAACAGTCTGTTCATATTATACTGCAATATGCTGTTTTGCTCAACCTTATGTTTTCTAGGTCTATTCCTGTTGATACACTCTGGTACACTTAAATGTATTTATTCATTTTGGCTCTGTATTACTGCATTTGCCGTTGATACGCTTATTTCACAATTGTTTAGTAATTTCTCTACTGATTGACATTTACATTGGTTCTAATTTTTTTTTTCTGTCACAATTGATGCTGCAGGAAACACATTCAGGACTCCTATTATAGACACATGAATGTTTCTCTGTATCCATATCTAGAAGAAGAATTTTTTTTAACATTTTTTATTGATTTATAATCATTTTACAATGTTGTGTCAAATTCCAGTGTTCAGCACAATTTTTCAGTCATTCATGGACATATACACACTCATCATCACATTTTTTTCTCTGTGAGCTATCACAACATTTTGTGTATATTTCCCTGTGCTATACAGTGTAATCTTGTCTATCTATTCTACAATTTTGAAATCCCAGTCTATCCCTTCCCACCCTCCACCCCCCTGGTAACCACAAGTCTGTATTCTCTGTCTGTGAGTCTATTTCTGTCCTGTATTTATACTTTGTTTTTGTTTGTTTGTTTTGTTTTTGTTTTTTAGATTCCACATATGAGCGATCTCATATGGTATTTTTCTTTCTCTTTCTGGCTTACTTCACTTAGAATGACATTCTCCAGAAGCATCCATGTTGCTGCAAATGGCGTTATGTTGTCGGTTTTTATGGCTGAGTAGTATTCCATTGTATAAATATACCACCTCTTCTTTATCCAGTCACCTGTTGATGGACATTTAGGCTGTTTCCGTGTCTTGGCTATTGTAAATAGTGCTGCTATGAACATTTGGGTGTAGGTGTCATCCTGAAGTAGATTTCCTTCTGGATACAAGCCCAGGAGTGGGATTCCTGGGTCATATGGCAAGTCTATTCCTAGTCTTTTGAGGAATCTCCACACTGTTTTTCACAGTGGCTGCACCAAACTGCATTCCCACCAGCAGTGTAGGAGGGTTCCCCTTTCTCCACAGCCTCTCCAGCATTTGTCATTTGTGG